ACTGAGTGTTCATTTAGATGCATCCATCAAAATCAGACTGATATCGGATCACTCATACTCTGAAAAGGGGTGTCTGACTCTCCTAAACACCCCCAGTGGGGTGATAAAAAAGAACATTTCAGGGCATTCTGTATGCCTTTATTACACAATATGGACAGGAGAGATGCAAGAAAAATGCTTGGCTGAACTCAAACCGTGGATGTTGCAGTTCATGGTTGACATCTTAACCACTAAATTACACATTATTTCCTAATATGACTCATCTGACTGGCAATTGTATTTAACTTTCCTTTTAACATGTATAAATAAAGCTTGTTTTGCTGTCAGTTGAAACTGAACACAAAAAATATAATTTAGCCCTTAATTTTCACTGTTCCAGATTATTATGCAAATATGATTTCAATTATATAAACATTTGATTTTTAGTTTTTCAATGAAAGTTTTCAATTGCGCTGCTTCCCATGTCTGTTTAGATCACTGACATCAATCTCAGACAGGTCTGGTAATTAGTTTGCCAGGTGAGCCTAATTAACGGGAAACTACTTAAGGATTATTCCATTGTTCCACATTATTAAGCAAGTCACAGGTTTCATGCAATACAGGGAAAAAAAAGATCTTTCTGCAGATGAAAAGTGTGAAATAGTGCAGTATCTTTCAATAGGTATGAAACCACTGGATATTTTACAAAATATTAAGAGAGATCATCATCCTGTGAAAGGATTTGTGGCTGATTCAGAGCACAGACGGGTTCGTTCAGATAAAGGCGTGTCAAGGAAAGTTTCTATAAGGCTTTTTCTATGCTTCAAACTGAGAAAATCAGTGTTTTCTGTCATCTAAACTATTGCACAGTTAACAGCTGTGTTATCCCCTTGCAGCCTCAGCACCTCCATTGCCTGCTCCCGACCCATGCGTAACCCTTGATTCCCTCTGCCTACCTGAGCAGCGTGTGGCGGCTACGGTGCTGAACAGCTGTGTCTGGCAGGCAGCACCACATTGTCTCACCTGCTTGGCTGCCACAGAGCTGCTGCTGCCAGCTCTATCTTTCTATACTGAGTTTGCCTTTGATAAATACCATACAATAAAGCTTTGTTAACATATGAAAGGATTCTGTCCACAGAAACGCCAGAGAGCTTTTAATCTGAAGCAGATACAGGAGGTGTATATCTATATGTATATGGTATGTGAGAAAAGGTGTATATGTTATTGTATGTATATTGTCGATATGAGCCGACCATTTTCACTCTTTATTTCTGCTGGGAACCACGCACAGCTCACGGAAAAAATAAGCGAGACCTCGACTCTCTAGCGAAGCGTCACTGCATCCACAGCTGAGACGCATGACTCAGGCAGGCAGGGATAAAAAAGCTAGACGTTCTGTCCCACACACACACTGCTCACGTAGGCAGGGAGCCGGAAGTGTTCAGGAATTTGTAACTGCCAGTAACCAGTTCTCACAGAATACTTTCAGGAAACAGGCCACAGGTGAGCAGGACAGGGCCGAAACACTCAAAGTCACTGTTCATTTTTCTTTATTCTTTCAATTTGGTAAATGTCACCTAAGCAACTTCTTACTTTATTAGTAGTGTATCTAGAATAGTTCATTTGTTTACATTGTTTGTATTGTGCTTTATTACGTTGTTTGAGGAAACTATAAAGCTAGGTAACTCCATACTTCTGGACACAACTGTCCCCATTGCAAATAAGGATAACGCAGTGCCAAAAACTGCAGTTCTTAGAACGGCCACATGAGGTTTGCTATTGAGTCAGTCTCCATAAGGCCCTATATTAAAATGCCCAACTTAATAGCAGAAATAAACATGTTTACAGACTGGTAGAAAAAACAGTTTTGATCTATATAGCTAATTTCTGCCATGTTTCTACAGAAGTCCACAACAGACAAACCAAACACTGGCTCCAGATAGGGCCGAGGGGTTGTAAAATGCAACTTCATCGCTAGATGTCACTAACTCCTACACACTGGCCCCTTAACTATGCACCAAGAGAACAAACCACAGAGAGGGGGGGATGAGGACACAGATGGAGTTAATAAACAGTTGAGAAACATCCTTCATTCCACTCTTGGATGGCTACTTCAGTATAAGTGTGTGTGTGTGTGTGTGTGTGTGTGTGTGTGTGTGTGTGTGTGTGTGCGCACGCGTGTGTGTGTGTTGCAGTGATCTTAATTGAATATTGATAAGTGAGGCGAGCACACGGGGTAAACAGCTGTGACTGGTACTTCATCATATGTGTATGTGCATCACTCATTATCAGGCCCAGCTGGTCCTCCAAGACGAGTCATCAGACAGTGACCGCACACACACACACACACACACACTCACGCACGCACAAATTCCTACACACTCACACTTATTACAGTAATTGACAAACAATTTTGACAGAGATCAAAGTCACCAAAACTGTGTATGCTGCGGAGGGGGATTCCCCGGTGGCTTTGGTGTTTGTTCAGTAAAGAGGCCTCAGAATATCTGATTTATTCATCACAACTAAAACAGAGCCGTCCCACAGAGGGGTCTCTACCTGGGTAGGCCAACATCTTCATCCGGTTGCCGTGACAACAGAACCCATCGTCTTAGTAACAGAAGTCAAATGCAGAGTGTTTATGGAAATGGCTTTAGAAATGACTGGAATTTGTTTGGGTGAAAGGAAGAAGTGCATATAGAGGCTTTACAGTTGCGTCACAGGTCTCCTAGCAACCACAGTTGGTTCCATGATGGAGGTCCATTGCAGGATTGAACGTGCATGAATAATGGCTAAATATACTGATGTAAATATACGTTGACAAGGTTGATTTGTTTCTCACTGTGGGTTACTCTGACACAGTCCTGTCTCATTTTGGCTGGAATCATATTGTTGTTGCTAGAAGTCAGTCACTTTGGACACATGAACGGCTGGTACAAGAAAATAGCAAAGAAGCATATGCACAGAAAAAAATGTCATGATGTACAAAGAGGGGGACATGGATGGACTTCAAATAAATTTGTATTGTGTGGACTGAAGGACATGGGCTGTTAGAGATGTTTTCTTAAACAGCCAACCCAGAAACATACAGTTTAACACGTGTGTCGTCAGGATAAGGACAGTGCTGATAGCCCTCAGGCCTTCATTTATCCAGAGAGGATTTAGTACATTTTCTGCATTTTACAACATTAACAGCCTGGTTTAATATGTGGAACACAAGCAGCACAAATAGAGTCAATTCTGTCATGCTTCCTACGTAGAGCCTCAATTCTGCCAGAGCTGGCCCCACAAACATGCTGCTGCCACATGAATCACCGCCTCACACACACACACACACACCACACACACACACACACACACACACACACACACACACACACACACACACACTGATGATGCTGTGAGTCATGTCAGTGTTTACATTTCATTCATTTTTTCAAAGCAAACCTGTGGAACTGTGACTTTACAGCAGTAATAGATGTTAAAGCAGGAATTCACTCACATACCCTAACGCCATCAGTCTGTTTTGTTCAGTGCTTTCAGGAAGCGATGCTGCATGCAATTCACAAGGAAGTATTCACATTCTTTGACCTTAATTGAAGAGAAGGGTTCACCTGCAGACTCCACAACACACCCCCAAGATAACTGCATGGATTAAAAGTACAGTGTGCAGCATTTAGTGGCATCTAGCAATGAAGTTGCAGATGGCAATTAAATTAATACAGCTCAGCCTTCCAGGCGTGTATGGGAAACTACAGTGTTTGGTTTGTTTGTTCTGGGCTACTGGACTGTTTTGAGTATTTTGCACACAGTAATTTCCCCACTGGCCGCCATATCATCAGGTTATTCAATATATAAATTGGCTGTGAAGAAAGCAATTATTTCCATTTTATGCTACTTTGTACTTATACTCTACTACTTTTTAGAGGGAAATATTGTACTTTTTACTCCATTACATTTATTTCACACCTTTAGTTACTTTTAAGATCCTCTTACAGATTTGACAACAATGATAATATTATGAGTAACCTGAAAAGACACATTTAACAATCTGCGACAATAATGTAACGTTATTTAGCCAACTTAATCGCCTGGTGAACAAGCAAGCTAGCTGGAAAATGACGTAACGTTGGCTAACGTTATTGAAGTTAATTAATTATGTCTCTTCCTGTCAGACTTAAGTACTGCTTGTGCCCAATTGGACTCACATAGTTTAGAGTTACAAATAGTACATGTGTACTTTGACGTCAAAATGTTTACCTGCTAAGCAAAACGCGTACAGATTGGCAGGTCTGGGTTTGAACTTTGGGCTAGCAGGCGCTAACAAAATAAGTTCATGCAGTTCATTCAAGAGACGTAAGCTATTTGTACCATTGACTCCTGTGTCATAACTGTCTGCAAACCACTCCTCTTTTATACTATATCTCAGTTTATACTACAGAGGGGATTCAATAAAAGTACATGGTGCAGCTAACAAATATGTCCGTCTCCAGCTTTCTGTTCACTCAAAGGTTAGCAATGTAAAGACTGCTTGCTGTTGGTCAACGACACAAATTCACACGTCAAAGTTCCCCAAGTTGAACACAAATGATTTACTTTGTTGATTATGGCATCATTTGCCTTTTGGAATACTGGTGTTACAAACTCTTGAGTCATGTGGTCAGTAATGGTGGAAAAATACACTGTATGTAACCTTGAGGCTTCACAATTTTTTTCCTTCCTCATAAAACGTTTTCAACGCCTTTTTTCTGTTTTGTTGTTGCATTGCTCATATCCACGCTAGAAAAGAATTTGTATAATTTGTACATTTGAGTCCACACCATACTGGTGTATCAAACCATTCCACCATAGCACCCCTATTAGGCAGGACCTTCACATGGTAGCTTTAATATATATATAAGCATTTAACTGTAGCTTAATGCCAACACTCACTGTAGCTGACCACCAATGAAGTACAAATTCCTTGTTGCAGCTTTTAACAACGAATAAGTAAAACATTTAGGTGATTGGGGGGAACTCACCTTATCTTTGAGATGCTTCTGTATCTCAGACAGGGACATGGAAGTGTTCTGTGGACCACGCCTGAGAGAAACAAATACACAGACACACACACACACACACACACACACACAAACACACACAGTTAAAGCATGTTCAGCTGCTGCCACCAAACGCCTCAAAATGCAAACGCAGCGCCATATTTCTTTGTTTCGAAAGGTCCGCTGTGCTGCTGGAGGAGAGAAGTGTGTGTGTACCTCACACTGCTGCGGCTGCTGCAGGCTCTCTGGGCCGCGGGAGCTCGTCTGAAGCTCCTCAGGAACTGCATGTAGTCCATAGTTTCACCGCTCCTCTCACGTACCTACAGCAGCCATAAACACAGAAGATGTATAAACAAGTGGAGCCACATATAGAAAACAACACGGCTTTGAGACTGATGATGATGAAAAGCCAGAGGAAAAACATTACTCTACATCCAACTTGCACTAAAACCCACTCCAAACTTTTCAAACATTCCAGTAAAAGCGTCTGAGCTAATGGCACATGTAATGGCGTCTCCGTGGAGACAAGAAGAGCGGCGTGGTGATGTGGCTGGCTGGCGTCAGGTGGGTTGAGCAGTAATTTTCAGGACGCGGCTGTTTGGGGAATAAACTAGGTGCTGTTCTCTGGAACGGGGCACACCTGGGGAATGCAGCCGCATGCTTTTGTTCTGACCTTGTACTGCTTTACTCACACACACGCATGGGCACACACACTCCTAAAGGCAAGCTGGTAAAGAGTTGGCACATACCTAAACACACAAAATCAGAGAACTAGTTTCTACAAAAAACACACACACATTCAATCAAGAAGACAAATACTCAGCATGCACATGCACACACACACACACACACACACACGTATACCTATTTTGGTGGCTCATAATCAAAGTACAGTCCCTGTTGCCCTGCCCTACATCCTTCCATGGTGTAATCCAGTGCAGCGGTCCCCAGCGGAGCTCCTAGCATTGAGTCTTATTATAGACACCACACCGTCCAATTATCACCACTATCAGCAGCCACGGAGCGTAACACACAGCCCCCAACCTCAGGGTAGGAGGGGGCCCCCTCCGTGCTCTATATACCTGTGACAGTGTTGTTACACCTGTAGTTCACTTTGAGGCTGAAGGTGAGACGGAGGTCAGCGGCTGATGGTAAGGAGGGTGGAAAGGTTGTTAAGACATGTTAAGATCACCTTTAAATATCAGTTTAGCTTTATTTTGTCATTGTTTCCACAAAGGTTCTTTCTCTAAACGGGAGCAACAAAGCATTAATCAAGATTATTTGTATAGATTAGAGGAACTCTCTGTAAAATAGGCATCTCAAGTTTAAATATATTAACTGTGGTAAGACAAACTACCATGTAAACGTGTGCAGATATCTGACTGGTGTGCAATATTCGTAGATATCAATATATCATCACAAATCATGTGGACTAATATTGATTGACAGATAGAACAAAGAGTGGAAAGCAAAAAAGCAGGAAAGAAGTTGAGTAGTTTTTAATCATTATTATTATTTATATTGGCTCCATGCCACTATTGTTTGTAATGATCCAATGTTTAATAAAGGAGTGTATGCTGAAGCACATGGGACTTATTGTTTTGTTCTTTTTTACTGTGGCATCGAATTGGGTATTGAGAATGGTAGAAATTCACTGGTAGGCTATTGGTATTAACTACAAAAGATCTGGCATTGTGGTATTCCTATTAATATATGTAATATACAAATATATATATATATTTAATATAAAGCGGGCCGTTTAAAAAATGACGTTGCTTTTTGCTGGATCGATATTCACTGAATTAAACACCGACTTATTACAGTTAATTCACTGTCTATTGTGTGTGTGTGTGTGTGTGTGTGTGTGTGTGTGTGTGTGTGACTGTATTTTGAGTTTTCAGGTCGTTACCAAAGTAACGGCGCACAGGTCTGCTGTTATGTTGCCTAAGTAGACTGTGTTTGAGTCCGCAGTGTTTTAGGGTGGAACCTCAACGAGTTTTAAAAATGAGTTTCTACACGGACAACTTTAAGAGAGGCGGAGACAGCGAACCGCCATAGAAAACACCTGCGTGCTCCGTTAGCCTAGCTTCATATCGGTAAACTAGCATGTCAAATAAAAATGGAATACTCGCTTTAAAACTGCGCATACACACTGAACCGAGCATTATGGCAACAAAGGACAAAATGTATGACATGACAATGCGTACCTGTGCGCAACACTGCCTCCAGCCGGCGGAGGCGAAATCACAGGAAGTGAACATACAATTAACAAAATAAGAGCCCCCCAAAAAGTAAATAAATAAATAAAAATAAACTATATACACAGAAACCACAAGGGATGGATTATTGGTGAAATGACTTTAATACAGGGGTGGCATCTATAGATGTATATTAAAGCTATGGCCATGTTTTTGCTACATATATTAATTGTGTTGTATGTTTATATGTGTACTGTGTGAGCCACATCAAATAGTAATTTCCATTGTCTTATTATTGACAAAGTTTTTCAGAATGATTTCATTTCATTTTAATTCATTTTTTGATGAACAGTGGCCACAATGGCCAAAAGTGTAAGTAATAGTAAAGCTTGCCATATGTTTCAAAGGTGTAGCCAGGTACGTGAAAGGTTTGGACTATCTCAAACTTTCTTTTTATATTTTTGACAAATGCCCCTATCTAGAGCCAGTGTTTGGTTTGTCCCTCCTGGGCTACTGTAGAAACATGGCAGTTCAACATGGTGGACACTGTAGAAGGTGACTCTAGAAACGTCTCATTTTAAGGTAACAAAAACACAGCGATTCTTGTATTAGATGTTTATACACTGATGAAAACATAATTACCGGTATGCATATTATATTAAATTTCACATTCACTTTCACATTTTCCAGATTTCAGATTTGTGACTGACTGACCCTAACAGGTGTGAGGCTCGGCCTACTGTAGAAGGTGAGTGATTTCAATCATTAAACCGCACACACACACTGCAAGATGACTTAGAGTAGGTTGACAGTCTCCCAGAAAAATGTGGGTTCAAATTAGGCTTTAAATTGTAGAGTGTGTCTCCAGAGAGGTAGGTGGGTTGCTGCAACATTTAAGAGGAATCAAAATCAATTCTTATCCCACTGAATAAACACATTTAGCGAGGGAGGAGGCAGAGCTTGAGCTCTCTCTCTGATGCTTTGGATTTTCTCTGTCTTGCTCTCTGCGAGAGTCTGGCTGTCTGTCACAGATTTGTCAGCTGTGATTGCCTTTTTGTCCGTCAACCCCCCTCCATCCCTCCTCCTCCTCCTCCTCCCCATTAATCTCAAGTTATTCAAGCAACTTCTCTTTTACAGGCCCTGCTACCGATGGACATTTAATAATCGATCAATAATTAACAAAAAAAGATCTTGTTCTCTTTGATTAAAAAATGCTGCATGGGTGAGAGTGATACCTAGATAAATAGCAGAAGAAAAAGAAGAGATGCGGTGGTGGTGGGGGGGGAGGTTGTGGCATCTCACTCCCTCAAGCACAAAGCAACTTCCACATCAGAATGTCACCAGACCAACAGCTGCTGCTCCAGTTATAGTCCTTTAAAGTAAACTTTCCACAACTCTCCAGAAAGCACACACATTCACCCACACAGTGTCTTTAATGAATAAGGCGGTGAGTGGGAGAGGGTGGGGTTGTGTATTGGTGAGGGTGGTGGGGGGTGGAAGACACAAAGTGCTGATATTATGGGAGGAAATCTGTGCGGGAAAGACAGGCAGTCAAACTGTCAGGCGTGAGCGCTGAGACGGAACAAAGAGGAACAGTGGAGACGATTACAGTGGCGTAGCGGAGTGACAGAGGCGTCGTGCACACAGATGAAGATGAAGGGAGAGGGGGGAATTACGCCACCACGCACAGACCTCAAACACACCACACACACTCACACACATACACACATGTGCATGCTCAATTGATCAATGCCAGAGAGTGGAAGCTTCCTGGTACAAAGGCCTCAGCACTCTCATTAAGCCTCATGGATGCAGAGTGATGACTTCCACGTCAACAAAATCAATGCTCCTGCTTTTTTTTGGTAAACATCTGCAGGCTACTGATGAATGTATGAAATATAACATAAAAGAACGGGTCCTCAGGCTGGTTCAGAGGAAAAACTCATGCCAGCCAACGCAATTGAGGTACAAATAAATAACGTCTGCTTTAACAGCTGCCAGAATCACTTCTCCTCTGACCAGTCTCCACGGCCACAAAGGATCATTTGTCAATGTCAGCTGCCTGGAAAAGCTAAAAAAAATCTTCTACTGCCATCTTCTGGATGATGCCTCACATAACAATACAGATAGAATTCGGAATACATATTTCAGGCCATTTTTTGAGGCCCCCTTTCACACCCTGTCCAAGTGTTGCCCAGATACAATCAGCTCAAACTGGAAGTGTGTTACAGTAATGATGTTGGGGAGTCGGCCCTGTCTGAAGTGGCTCCCCAAAACTCTAAACTCTGTTGAATGAAATTTCAGACTGAGCTTCAAAGTTATAACCTTGCGAGGCAGCTGGACTTGCAACATCACAAATCACAAGCTCACTTGAGAATCCATCTTGCCAGGCTTCAAGCAACAACCTCTGTGGCTGGAAAATAAAGCCAAGTAACAAAGGAAGCAACAAAAACTGCATTTTAAAATGCCCAACTTATCAGCAGAAGTAAACATTTACAGCCAAGTACAAAAAACTGTTTTTAATTATACAATCTACGGTCCAGATCAATAAGCTTACTACTGGCAGCTACAGCATGAGCTACTGGTGTGGTTTAATGTTTTAAACATTAAAGAACCTAACAAGGTGAATGTAAGAAAAGACTGTTTGCTCGAACTGCTAAAGAGATTAGCGTAGATGCTGCAAGTGGAAGAGTATTTCTTCATTGAAAGAAGAGCAAAGAACGGAAAATTTCTTATGGGTCCAGGTCACAATGGTAGCACGCTGAGCAGTGTTCCCCAGAAGTCCTTCTTCTTATTCATCCAGCTTCTCCTTGGGGATTCCTAGGCAGTCACAGGCCAAATGGTACTCTGTGAGCTTCTCCCAGTTGGATTACTTGAATGTAATAGACCCAGAGGCACAAGATATATCTATGTCAATAAGTCCTATACAGTGAATATTTTCCTCACTGGGGCTTCTAACAGGAGTTTCTTTTCTTTTGGGAGTCTGACACACTTTAAGGTAATTGCCAACATCAAGGTGAGAACCAGACCTTTTGAAGGTTGGTCCTTTAAACCAGTGGTTCCCAACCTGTTTCCAAAAGGGACCCCTTTTCTGTCATTGAGTAAGCTGACGACCCCTGACTCAGTGACATATTTTAATAATATTTCCTGTTATATTCAAAGCTGTACAATGAACCCAAACAGAGAACTCAGTAACTGCAAGACGTTTTTGTAAAATTAGTGAATTGGATGAATTTTGAGCAGATTATTTCCTTTTAAGGGAATCATTTTATACAATTCTCTGGACTGTATTATGTATTTTTTTAAATCATTTTTTAACAGTCATAAATACTTATTAGGCTTCTTTTTTGACAAATTCAGCGTTTTCTAGTCCCTGGCGTTCAGCTAGATAATTTACTTAACAAAAAATGCAGAGATATATGACTGCTATAGGCTTACTGTGTATATTTTTCTAAGTTTTCTTACATCCCTTAAAATCAAGAAGGCCTTGCGACGCCCCTAGGTTGGGAACCACTGTCAAGCAGTGGAGGATCAAATGGTAAACGGATCCTTTCTTCACATGAAGTAGTTGCTTTTTTTTTCATTTACTAAATGTGGAATTTGTGGCATTTCTTAGGGAGAGTGTTGTGGTTATGCTGGTCAGTGTTTGAACCAGAGACTTTCAATGTGAACTAACTCATCAAGGAGAAAAACGTAAAAGAAACTGTTGAAATTCAGCCACTATGCAGTAGAAAAGTCAACCATCTACTAGTTTCTAGCTGGATCTGCCCATCAGATCAGACTGAATTACCAGTTGTGTTTGATGCAAAATGGCCATGACTAGGAAAGCTGCAAGATGTCCCTTTATTTCATACAGTTCTATATACTGACAGTAGGTGGCAGCAATGTATCATAAACATAACGCCAACTTAATCTCTGTGCTTAATTCTGACATTGAAAAGTGAATAAAAGGAGCAGTTTAATTGCTGTGTGAACCCCCTTTTTGTCCCTTTAGTACACAAAGCTCTCTTTTCTTTGTATGATGTTGCTCTTTACTTTTCTTACTTTACATTGCAAATGTTTTATGAGATGGATGTATTCAGTAGTCAGACTTCAAAGGGACAGTTCACGCCAAAATCAAAAGCTACAGCTACAGTTGGTAAGACAATATATGTTTTTTTGACTTTGGGGTGAACTGTCCCTTTAGGAACATATATGATATGTGTACCTTTTTTCACACGGTAGGTTTAATGAAAGAATATAATAATAATAATCAAATCTACCTTCTATGTTCCTGTGTCTTTTTTTTAAAGTATCTTGCTCGGCTATAGCTTTAGTTAGTTCAGTTTGCCACTGTGTAACACAGGTATCCAAATGTTCCTCACAAGCACCCACTGCTTTCCCTATTTCTAGTAAGGACCTCACAGGAGTGTGTGGAGTGAACCTTTTTCTACATGATGTCCCACACTCAACTAACTGATAAAGCAGCCACCTTGCTGAAGGGCTTTATTTCAGAACCCTCTCTAACCTCTGACCCCCATGTGGACAGAAATGAAGGTGAATGTCCCGCTCACCTCATGGAGCACAGTGTGGAGCTGGCTCTGGCTGACATGCAGCAGCCTCTCTAGGACTCTTTTGAATTCCTCTTTGCTCACCAGCCCTGTCCCATCAGGGTCCACCGCCATGAAGGCTGACTTGATGTCTGCCAGTCTGCTGTGGATCAGAGGCTCCACCTGCTCCAGGGTGAGCCGTCGACCTGGATGGTACGTCACTGGGTGGACTGAGGGGGTCAGATGAGGATGAAAAATTGAATGTCACTTTGAAGCTACTTTAAAGAAATACAAATAAATAGTTTAGCAGGGAGGTTAACGATTTTGATGGCGGTGTAACTCTGGTAAGTTCATTTTTGTTTTAGAGACAGCGTGGTAATGAAGCAATGTCTTTTATGAACAGCATCTTAATAAAAGAAGTAAAGCAACATACACAGTCACTCAATCCCATAAATTAGATGAACTGTTGAATGAATAATGAAAACAATGAATTGTTTTAGTGCACTTAAATTTGTGCACCATTTTATTATTGGTGATATAATTCCAGTTTGTTCTATTGACAAATTTTCCTAAAGTTGGAAGATCATTGCAAATGTATGCAGCATTATTGCTTAAAATTCTTGTTTTTAATAAATGACCACTGCCTAGAAAGTATGGTTTTCTTATAACAGTGAATTAAAATAGATAAAATTTGTTTTTTACATTGATCAACAGAGAAAAAAAATTAAATGTATTGGTATTAATGGATTATAACTGATGTAAAGCATTAGTAAACATTAACACAGCCATTAGTTACAACTTTGGCTGGTTCACACACTAGGCCAGGCTACAATAATTGTGCAGAAGACCCAACTGACATTAAAAAATGTCTAATTCAGTAAAAAAAACATAATAATTAACCATTCATTTGATTAAATAATATTAAAACTCTAAGTGCAAAATAGGTAAATATAGCAGAGGAAACTGAAGGTTGAAAAACCACTTAACCTACTTCTGTCTGTGTGGATCCATGTCTGCCTGGACCCCCCACCTGTCTGTCTTCCTCCTGTGTAGGAGTGTGTGGTAATGCTCGGAGCCGTTTGAGCCCGCGAGCCAATGACCAGTGGTCCCAGTCCAGAGTGAGGGGGCAGCAGCTTGGCCATACTGTGGTGAAACTGGTGTGTGTGGAGAGCCAGGAGGGTGATAAATGACACTGAGAGGGTGGACTGTGGTTGCTAGTACACATGAACATGACTCTCTCTCTCTCTCTCTCTCTCTCTCTCTCTCTCTCTCTCTCTCTCTCTCTCTCTCTCTCTCTCTCTCTCTCTGCGTGTGTGTAAGATGAATCAGCAGTTGTCATGTCTGAGCACAACATACTGTTTTCAACTGTTCAGTCTGGTTCTGTTGCCTCCACCTGCTATTGTCAAACCACTACCATCACCATGGATGTAGGAAAACAGAATATTTTTCTTTGAAATGTTCAATAACAAGACATTTAATGAAAGAAACCAACTCAAAAACCAGTGGTGGAAAGTACATGTATTGAAGTATTATACTGAATTAAGTGTGCTTTACTTGAGCATTTTCAAGGAAAATGTACTTTTTACTTCACTACATTATACAGTGATATTTGCTATGCAAGTTAAGATGAGCATATAAAATACAATGCATTAAAGTCCCGTCCACACTTGCATCAGTATAAAATATAATCATATAGCACATATATATCTTATATTCTGCTGCCAAATGACAACTTTAAAGATCCTCTTCATACATGTGTTATTTATATTACAACTTCCACATTACATATATACAAATAGTCTGCTTGGAACTATAAAACCTATAAAGTCCATTCTCTGTGGATGTGCACTGGTGGCTTCAAGTTTCTACATCACACTGTACAAGTTGCGTACTGGACCAGGCTTGACTTCCATTGACATTTTAGTTTGGTTTCACGGCTTATCAACCTCATTCCAGCCAGCAGGCAGCTGTTTCCAGCTAAAAAGGCCACTGTACGCTACCTGCTCAGCACCACACAGCAGATAGATAATGTTAGTGACTAGCTGGTGAAACAGTTAGTAGCTAAAAAAAACTTTTTTATCTATGGGAACGAAAAACACAGCTAAAAATGAGTGAATATTGGACTTAGAGTCTGTGTTGTGTCCATAGCTTGTCTCTGCTGTTTTCAAGTGGACAAAAAATGGATTATTGTAACTTTTTGAATGTAATTGAGTATATTAGCATTGTGCTATTTTTACCTAACAGAGCTGCTACTGTAGCTACAACTGACAATCACAAGATAATGGTAAATACGTAGTGTAGCATTAGCACTCAAGGAGTCATAAGTCAGTACACTGATTCAGTAATGTCAGTGCTAAAGTTTGCTAATATTATCCACCACAGGCTACTGTTCATAGCAGAGGTGTATAGAACAAGGGTGTGTTTTGTGCTCATGAATTCAACTTTTCATTTGTAAGAAAAAGTTTGTGTTATTTTAGTCTTTAGTCTCGCTTTAAGGAAAGGATTTTGTTCACTCTTCTGCCACTGCCAAAAAACATCCTACTAAGACTTTTTTATACCTGCAGGTAAGTAGCTACCCTACATTAAGGCTAGATATTAAATTACATGTATTTTAACATTCACCTAATTTACAGATTAAATGTTACGTGTCATCACAGCTCAGGTGTTCTCATACCCTTAACCTTTACCTGATGAACCACATTTATGGCTGAAATTTAGTTCTATGTAGAAAAGAAATAGGAATGACACTGCAATGTGTTCATGTGCCACCTGATGATTGTCTGCCTGACATTACAGACCTGTATGTTCCAAATCTGAACTTTTACCAGCCTGCATTTCATGGTAGGAACAGTGTACATTTCATTGACTCTCACTGTCTGACTGATAGCAGCATTTGAGAACACATTTTTACAAGTTCCAAACGAGACTTGATACGCTTGATACATTTGTCGTAGGTGTAAAAACCTACTTGGCAATAAACAATTCTGATTCTGATTCTGAAGAGTTAAAAGAAACAGAACAGAGTCGTCAGTTATTGCCTGAAGACACAACTTTATTAATAAACCAGCAAGCAAAGCATGTAAAATACAACGCAAGATGCCCAGGAAACAGAGACAGGCATGTATAAAAACCCAAACAAACTACTAAAGTGGAGATGGGCAGCGGAAGCCTTGCCAACGGCTGTAAACAGAGTGACACAGAGAAGAAAGAACAATGACAAGAAAGAATGAGCAGCCGTAAAAGAGGCGGCGTTGACGAGTGTGTGCTGAGGTTGTCGTTTACATCCACACAATAAAGACATTCACAAGTGTCTGGTAGAGCGCAGGGACTGGGCTGCTGGACTGGAAACTACTGTGGCAACACAGGAAGAGGAGGAGGTGCTGGACTGGTTGTACGTGATGCCTTGGGTTAATAGTCTGACTCCAGATACACTACAGTGAGTAGCAGAATACAGTTAATGCTGGTTATGGGTTAATACTCTGCTCTCTCCTCTCCTGCAGCCAAAACCTGACATTTCTCAGAAGACAGAGAGAAAGAGAGAGAAAGGACACTGTTCATCGATCAGCAGTAATACGTAGCATGGTTCACACAGGAAAATAGTGTGTGGATTACCAACCAGGCAAAGCAGCTCCACAGATCCCAAGAGCCCCATTTACACGTACACACTTGCGTCTGGGGACTGCCCATTGTTCCAACGGTCCAGTATTCCGAAACCCCAACAGTCCGAAAAACGTCCCATTGGACTGAAAGCCCATTTGCCCAAAAGCCCCTTATTCCACAAGCCCACTGTTGAAGGCCAGTTTCTGTTTTTGATTTTTTTCTCTATTGTCTTTCATTGATAGTGACAGCTGAAGAGTGACAGGAAAGGGGGGAGAGAGAGAGAGGGGATGACACGCAGCAAAGGTCCACAGGTCGGAATCAAAACCGCTGTAGCAAGGACTTGGTACATGGGCGAAGCCCGTTTTTGAGAAAATACACACTGTATATGGAGGTTTTTGCCCTTAATATCTTAGTCTATTTGGACATGCAGGAAAGGACGAAGTCAGGTGACCTTTGTCATCATGGTAACAATGGTAACAATGATAAACATGGTTACCTTGTTAAGTTTAGGAAAAGATTTGGGTTACTATAAGTGTGTTAGTTACATCAGTTAAGTTACGCAGGTAAGCTGGTGATACCAGAGTGTGCATTTTCTGTCAGACAAACAGGCTTTCAGTCCAATGAGACATTTTTCAGACTTTGGGGGTTTCAGAATAATGGGCTGTCGGAACAATGGAGATAATGTGTTAAAAAAACGGAAATGAACTTGGTCACAGTTGGCTGCAGCATTATTACCTTATCTTGTAGATTAAAGACTTTATTCAAATTTTGGGGTCAGTAGGGGCCCAATTTATTTAGCCATAGTTTGGAGCTCTGTGTTGTTGATGTAAGTCCTGTATGTTAGATACAGAGAAATGTCATGTACTTTTTAAATACCATAGTATCCTGTTTATGTTGCCTTGAGGTTTTAGTCTTTGCATATGCTTTTAGCTTTCTACCTCTCCTCTCCTCCGGCTCTTGTTTACCTTTCATTCACATATATATGTAGGTGTCTCTGTACAATGTATATATATCTGAATGTCTTTTTTTCTTTGTCTCATATCTTTTATAATTGTTGCATTTGCATATTGTCTTGACCTTCAATGTCTGTCTACATGAAACCACCTATATAGCTGGGAGACAATACATTACATACAGTATTAGCTACTGTGTTTGGCACAGCTGCATCTGCAACCGAACAGCAGCTGCTCATTTTAACCACCGGAGGGGGTATATATTTTATGATATATGGCAAATACAGTGCAGCAAATTGTGTCTCAAATGCTGACCACTATGTTTGTACAAAATATCAGTTAAAAGAGAGAGGAGTGTGCTGCTCCTTAAAGCCATCATTTGTAGAATTTGGACATAATTATAGCATTTTTTCTGATGGCATAAGCTTTTGTTTTAGAGTAAGGAGAAAATAAACCTAGTGCCAACTGATGCCATCTTTGTCTCTTCAGTATCTAATCTACTGCTGCGTTTTTTCTGATACTACTACTGAGCAGGATAAAGTTACACATTATTCAACTCTACACATAGTGCATTTAAAGATCAATGACGAATCTTTGAAGGTGACGTCTAAGTCAGTCTGATGCATTCTGATGGTGTCACTGAGCACTGACAAGATATAACTCTCTGTGTCTCTCTCTCGCTGTCATTCTTAAACACACACATCCGTATACACACGTAACGCTCATACATAAGTGTCCGGTGACAATCGGGGATCGAGGCTGAGAACCCTGCACCGCTTGGAGCAGAAAAAAACAAAAAAAGAACAATGATCATCTAACACAGCAATCGCTCAGCTGTGACACTGAGCTGCTGGGTCGATTTAGGCGTGATAGGCTTCCTCTCTACAGGTTTGGCTTTGCCTCTTCCGGTTACCTTCCATGCGTCTACCTGGCTCGGAGCCATTGCTGCATCAAGACACCCGCTAATGCACTCAGTTTCAGGGTTAGACCGATATATGGGGTTGACAGATTAAAGGGCAGATATTGGTGTTGTCTGTAAAAACTGTAATTCTCTTTGGGCAGTTTGTTCAGTTATAATGTAACCAGCAAATCTGTTGACATTTTATAGCTGTAAATATGTCATATTCAGCAATTGTACCTAAGTTGTCTTTTCAACATGTTTTCACCACCCAGGCAGTAATGTATTCCAGTTTCCCCACCAATAAACAGGTGTGTATGGCCTGACCTACAGAGCTCCGAACAATAAAACAGTTTCATTAGCCTGGCCTTCTCTGGAGAGGTTTAGTGTCTCCTGATTGTGTAAATGTGGTTAGGGTTAGGGTTCATTCACCTGACCAGAACCATCAGTGGGAATCACAGAGGCTGCTTACAGATATTTGTGGTTGATCAACACTGCACATCACAAGTCAAAGTGATGACTAATATTTAAATAATACAAATAAATCAATTTAAAGGCTGGGTCACAAGACAGATATGACATGACCACGTAGTAGTTCTGTTGGTGCACCCTCTGATGACAAAATGTTGTAATAAGGCCCTAGCGGACCCTCACATACTCACAGTTGCGTTAAGGACAATTCCTGCTAACGTGCCCCTTTGATCAGCCCCAGACTGCTCGAATATCCCTTCTAAGCGGCCCAAGTGTTCATTCCTCTCTCTAGACAAAAACATTAGAGCAAAAAAATCCTCAAGATTTTCACCACCAATCCAACAAGTGGTCTAAGACATACATATACATTACGTTTCCATGGCTACTTCCTCCAGCTTCTCCAAGTGGATCCCAATGCGTTCTCAGGCAAGATGGGATATATAATTCCTGCAGCATGTTCTGGGTCTGCCCCAGGGTCCACTCCCAGGTGGACCATCCCTGAATTATGAATGGTGCACTGAAAGCTGAATGTCCGAGCTTCTCACACTGTCCCACTGGGCCAGTCCAGCCACCCTGAGAACCCCTCCAAGAATTCTGGGACCTGTGTTGTCAGGGACAAAAGCTTCAGTAGGATCCACAAGGGCAAACTGGACTGAGGGGGGCCAGACTGATGATTCAAGAAACGTTCAAGCGCAGTATGCTTTAAACAAAGTGCTTGTTGAATCATTGAAAAGCAATTCGACAATCACGCCCGCTTCAAGCGAAGTGTGCAGAGGTGGATTTGAACCTCTCTAAAGCTCTCCTTTTTAATCCTTTACACAACTACCTCTGTCACTTTTTGCGTGCAGCACAATTAATTCTTTTGAGGAGAAATTGTACAAGGGTATGCGGAGAGAGCAGCCTTTCCCAGAAGAGGGACAATCATGAACTGGCGTGTTTTTTTCCCTGTCCAGACATATTGACATGATGATGATGATTTTCTGTGTATTTCAGCCACAAATATCAACACGTAGCTTGAATCCCTGTTATTAACACAGCCATAGTCTAGGATTTTAAATATAAATGTTGACCAATACTTCAGCTCAAAAGTATTGGTATCGGCCCCTAAAAAACCCATATCGGTCGAACCCTGGTTAGTATATACACATATACATACACAGCAGTGGGAACATACTGTGGAGGTAGGGCTTGAGGGAGGTTTGGTTTAACTACTGATTGAGAAATTTCAATAAACTCCTAATAAATCTGGATTAATTCTGATTAATCCAAAAGAGTGGGATTTTTGATGACTTGCTGACTCGAGACATTGAATTCTGGGAAGAGTCTTGTAGTGTAATCCCTCTGTCAGACTGTACCATTAAACTTCAGACTGATTGACTGAATGGAGATGTAGGAGCGTGGGTTTTGGCAGGAAGTGTGCACTTGTTGACTGTACTGAAGTGGATCAGTGGAATGGAGAGTGGGGAGGCGGTATGGGAGGGGGGCCCTCCTCACAGGCAGAAGTCAAAGGTCAGGTCGGACTTGCCCATCTTCTGTCTGTACACCGTGTCAAACTTTTCGTTCATAGAGACTGTGAAGACGTCCTTCCACAGACCCACACGACCTGCAGGTAGGATACACAGGAAGAGGGAAGATTTGTAGATATTAATAAAAACATTCAGGTACCTTTCAACACAACCATGAACGTCCGCCTAGTAAATTACTCAGTACAGCTCAAAGATATAGTGTCCTGTATCTGAAACAGTTCATTAAGCAGATTCTTTAAGCAAGGCTATATTACTAACTGGCAACTGTTCCAGAGCCCCAGAATTACAGGAGCCCTCATCTATGATTTACTGTGTGTCAATGCAAGGGAATCAATAGGGGCCGAGCAGCTCATTGTTACCTTTTGGACCACTAGAAAATGAATCCGACTATGATCTTAAAAGTCCAGGGTTTAGGATTTAGTGGCACTAGTGCTGAAGTTGCAGACTGCAACCAACTGAATACCACTTGCCTTCCAAGCATGTAGGAGAAACTACATTGGCTACAAAAGGCCCTATTTCCGGCCAATGTTTGGTTTGTCCGTTCTGGCCTACTGTTCAACGTAGCAGACTCCGTAGAAGAGGACCCGCTCCATCTGTAGATAAAAACAGCTCATTCTATGGTAACAAAACCACAAGGAGTCTTATTTTCTGGTGATTTTACACTAATGAAAACATACCTATGAATATTATATTATATTTCTGACAATAGATCTTCCTAAATGTTACACACTGGAACTTTAAGTTTCACTCTTACTTCTGAAAGATATATGTATCATTTCATTTTAACCACAGTTCCACGCTAAATTAACCAATCACTTGTCATGGAAGCCACGAGTATTATCATCCATGCCCTACATGCGGAAACCAATGGCACTAGTGACTTTAGAGTACAATAACAGCACACTGGCACTGATATCAAAACTAAAAGTGAGGATGGAAACATTGGCTTGAAAAGTTGTAACAGGAAAGAAGAGAAGACAAAACATCTTGTGACAAAAGATATAACACTGGATATAAGTGTGTGGCAATGCATGACAAGCCTGAAAGTTCATTCTTGACCTTTGAAGTAGTACTTTGAGAAAATAATCTTAAGTCAAGGTCCACTCACTAGATTTTTCTTAAAGTCATCTGCAGACAAAGTTTGCTTAGTTGTCTTATTTACTTTTTTTTTTTAATTTATGATTGATTCAATTAATTCCTCACCTTTTTTTTCCAGTAGTGTAAATCGTGGTTCTCACCTTGGGCTGGGACCCCCGGTGGGGTCCTTGGAGGGTTCCGGGGTTCCCAAAAAAGTGTTTGGGTGTTGAATACTGTCTGTGTATTCCCTCCGTTGATCACTGCTCGTAAGTGCCCTTGTCAATTTCCCAAAAAATTTTATATTTTATATATATATATATATATATAAATATTATATATTGGGCAGCCCCTGGTATGTAGATCAATTTGGAGGTGCTTGACACCAAAAAGGTTGAGAACCACTGCTTTAAATAATTCCGTGATCTACTTCAATAAACCTTTTGGCAAAGGCCTTCAATTTAAAGTAAAACTAGTTGTCTTTTCTTGTTTTCCATCTTGTCAACAGCATCTTCCTCGGTTCCTCATTTACAGGCAGAAATGTATTCATTGAATCCCATCCTTATTTTCTGTCCTCAAAATGCTATTTTAAAATTGTAGCAGTTGGCTTGAAGGCTTTTAGTTTTGCTTCAGTACTGCGACAGTCTGTATATAGCCATGCTCAGGAGTTATGACTATTCTGCATTAATTCTCATGATTCATCTGAAACATTCTGATGGATGTTGTTTTTCTGCACTGATAACATCACATTTTATTTGACATGCTTCAGCTGCAGAGTGAATGCAGCCTGACGTGGCAGTGACTCACCTGCTGCAGTGTGTGTGAGACAGATCAGACTGATCAGACTGTCAGCTGTGTGTTAAGCCTATAGCAGACCAGACTTCCATGCACTAAAAGAAAAATAATTGATGGGGAAACAGAAAAAGAACAGATGACAGAAAACCATAACAAATTAAAGCAGGAATGGCAACAGAAACCAACTGAATAATTATAACAAATCAGGGAATAAAATGTAAAAGATGTCTAGATGAAACTCAAAAAGGGTTAAATAAAAAGGAACTGGGGCTGCAGCTGGAAATCATACAGTCTATAGTTGAAATGCAATCTGTTGCAATCTAGATGCATGTAGCCACACGATGGTGCTATAATCATCTCAAAGACACTCAGGTCCATGCACGTGTATGTATGTAGGCTGGATAACAGTGTTTGGAGGGTTACTGCAAAAATGTAATCTGATACAATTACTAATTATTTGTTTATCAATAATCGTATTGCCTTATCAATAAGATTATGTGTATTGTATAAGAAAAAAAATTTTGACATCTAAAATGTGTCCTCTTCTCAGTGTATTTTTTTTTTTTTTAAAACTTGCTTTAGTTAGCAAATTCAGGCAGCAGCCTACAGAACATTTTCACAGCTGAAAGGCAGAACCTGCACTGTACTGTGATATTGTTCCCTTTTCTGCTTTAAAGACAAAATAATAGTGACATTTCCACCCAGTGAAAGCACCAGAGTGCTGTTGTGAGACTAGTAAGTGTTGTGTGCACACTGCACAGGTGCATGGAAGTATACCATCCTTTTTTTAAAATATACGTTAAAATCAGAATCCTGCTAATAATCCCAATTTTTATTTATCATAGAAACTCTTAGTATATTATTTTGAGTTTCAATTATTTCACAAATAAATGTTTCACTTACATATTTTAAAAATGTTTCGTCTTAAGATCAAGGTTAGGACGGTTACTTTAAAAATGTAATCTGATACAGTTACTAATTACCTGTTAAAAAATGAAGTCAGAAACCTAACCCAAGTATAACATTATGAACTAATATAACTTGTTTACTTTCTATTACTTTTGAATTACCTCAATACAAACTATGCAAATAAAGACAATGGAAAATAAATATTAAGTACTGATGTAGGTATATTCTATAAGACAACAGAACAATGTGACCTTAGAAAAGAAAATGGGAACAAGACTTTTAGCATCAAAAATGTGTCCTCTGCTAAAAATAATTACTACAAATAATAATCGGTTGTTTTTCTGTAACTGTAATGGATTACAATACATATCTTTTTTTATGACTACGTAATTCAGTTACATGTGATCCGTTACTCCCCAAGCCTGTATAAGATTACTAATTTAATTTAAATATTTAAGTACGTACATTGATAAAACACAGTATCTGCTACTATTGAAATGGAGTCAGATGTATGTGAATGTTCCTTGACTATCACTGTCACAGAGCATGAGGTACCATAAGCCAAGATCAGTGAAGGGTTAAACTGTAAAGGAAGTAATATAAAGCCTGTACTTTCCTGTGTTCCAGTGTTTGACGTGTAAACAGTGTCTCATATAGATTTGTCCTGTTTCCAAAACCAACTGCTCAGCTCATTTTGGGGCCCCTGGGGGTTAAAGTGCCAACAAAGTCGAACAATGTGTGTGTGTGTGTGTGTGTGTGTGTGTGTGTGTGTGTGTGTGTGTGTGTGTGTGTGTGTGTGTGTGTGTGTGTGTGTATGTGTTCCAGTCAGGCTAGGTGAAAGGGAAAAATGTCTTGTGAAACTGGTGTGAGGACTCCTCTCTCTGCCTCTGTCTAATCCTGACCTAATTATAATCTCATTACAATGTACAGTACGGTAGAGTGTGTGAGGCATTAGTGTATTTATATTGGACTATATCAGATGATGAGACCAGCTGTACATTATGTAACATGCAGTATCCTGTCCTACTTAAAGCACTCACAACTCACCATAGACAAACTCATTAATCCCTACAGTCTTTTAGCAGAATAGGACCCACGAACAACGCAGTAGAACATCTTTATAATGCTTTAATTCATAGGTTTGTTACTTCCTAATGATTTCTTCCTAATGATGTTTCCTGGAAGGAACAGTGCTATTTGGTAGTAGTCAGGGAAAATGGAGACAAAGTTAGTTTAGCTGAGTTTAGAGGTAGTGATTTCCAGAGAAAGTTCCGTGAAAAAACTTTTGAATTTAAGTAAACATCTATTAACATCTATAGGGCCAGCTGCCCTATAGTCACTACCAGTTTGGTTGAGCTTAAAATGTTGATTTTTAATGAGACTCTCCGAGGTGTTGATTGACCCTACTTTACATTATATTTCAGCCAAAGTTGGTGATAACCAACAATCACACCAGAGTGGTTTTGCGGTATCAGAAAAAGAGCTAGTGATTTATCTGTCCTCTACCTCTTGGTCTTTTAATAGCGTTGTAAGAGGAGGCTGAGTCGATATCATGAGCTCACCGATATGATTCAGGCCTGATCTAATGGCTCTAAAAGAGGAACATTAACCACGTTTATGCTCTCTCTCCTCTCACATCCTCCTCTTCTAGCTGTACAGTTCTTTCTCTCAAATGTGTTCAAGACTTATATTCCATTTGGCATCACCGCAGTGATGTCTCATACCAGGGATTGTATTTGTTGCACTTATTTGTGGAAATTTGAACTGGACTATGTCCTGGAAGCTTTTTGTTTTTCCTTGTGCTGTTTCTTGTTTGTCATATTTGCTTGACTATGTCGGGTCTTGTCTTTTTGCCAAATGCACACAGAGACTAAAGAATGTATTTTGTTTTGCTAAAATTCCCTATAAAAAAGATCTAAACTTTCTTTCCAGTCTGACAAATGCCCTCAAGGGATGTCACTTGAGTCAGTTCAAGTCTGAAAATGAAACAAATCTGGTAAATATATAACATATAATAAGTGATATACTTTAGCTCTGAAAGGAGCCATTGTCCATTATGTGTACTTTAGATTAGGTTTGTGGAGACCTTACAAAATGCAGTTGCGATGTTTAACCCGTTGAGATAAATCTGATAAACACCAGACTATGCCAACATGCAAAATGGGATCATGGGATACCAACTCATAAACTGAAGGAACTCCGACAGAAGAGAACATGTTAGATGTTGTGAAAGTGTAACAAAAACTGACACTCAAAACTCTGCATAGTTAGCAAGCCAGAGAGTTTAAGCAATGTTGTGTTTGTCCTCTCCCACTCACCCCTGCAGATGGACAACGCCTCAGAGTTTCCACACTGCTCAATCAGCTGGTTGCAGCTCTCCACCATGCCCTCCAGCTGAGCCTTGTCACAGGAAACACCCAGGAACCGGGCTAACTGTTCCACCAGCGTCCCCAGATCCTGGAGAGGAGAGGAGAGGAGAGGAGAGGAGAGGATGATAAGTAAAGGGAGTTCTTAAAATGGGAAATTTATGAAAACAGTAATCACACAAATACAGAGAAAACTGCCTCCCTCTTGAACTCTTAAATAATGCCAAGGCAGTGATTCTGTTTCCCCAAACAGCATCCACCCACAGCTGCAGTGGACACACTGTTCTCTGTGCTTACACAATCTATGTGGCATAAAGGTGAGAATCACTGACTGCAGACATACGACAGCTGTAAGGACAAAATGTACAGCTCTCTAGGAACACACTTTACGGCTCCGGGTTATACACATGTTTGCGTGTGGGTGTATGTGCCTGTGTGTGTATCTAAGGCAGGTTCAGTTAGAGTAAGGTTTGGCTAATGCTATGTGACTCGCTAATGTGATGTGCAGGTATACGTTCCCCTTGTTTGTATAGTGCAAAATATGGTTGAGGTTGATGGGAATTACACTTTTTTTTTAATAGATTAAACAAACAAGATATGATGTTATTAATTAATTGTTAATTAGTTAGGCTAAAAAGGCCTGGTAGTCCGTTAACTTTGGACAGAGCTAGGCTAGCTGTTTCCCCCTGTTTGCCAAGTTAAGTGTTTGTGTCCTGACGTTAGCTTCTTATATTTAGTGTACAGTTTTAATAGGTTTTAGTTTTGATATTCTTATCTAACTATAAAAATGTCAAGCTATTCGTTTAAAACAGAAATAATTAAACACTTGGGTACAAGCTGTAAAAACAACACTGACATGTTAGCCTACACATGCAGCAGACACAAAGCAACATTAGCAATTATTTGGACCCATTTTTCTGGCCACCTGCTAATATTTTACTCCAGTATTTCTTCTCCTTTTAGCTCTAGTTTAATCTCCACCTTGAGAAAAATATCTAGCTCTTTAGCTGCTCTATTCAAACAAAATGAGAGCATGAGACTGAGCCGAATCATTAAAGAACCAGTGGCTGGGATTCAGTGGCATCTAGTAGTTAAGTTGCAGATTGCAACCATTTGAATATTGTTTGTCTTTGTAGGAGAAAATAAAGTGGCTCTATCTAGACCCAGTGTTTGTCCATTCTGAGCAGAGTCAGTTCAACATGGCGGACTCCATGCAGGGCAGATAAAAACGGCTCATTCTAATCTTATTCTCAGGTGAGTATACACTAATGAAAACATACCTATTAATATCATGAATATATTCCATTTCTGCCAATAGATCATCCTAAGTGTTACACTCTGGAACTTCAATGTTGCGGCCTGAAAAACCAAAACTTTTGTCACTACGACTCTTTTTACATAGTTTTGATTATTCTTAAAATAAAAAAATTTGATACAAAGTGTTGTTTTATATGACCACCACTACTGTGAATATTAGAACATGTCTGTTTCTCTCTGTATACTTAGACGCCAGGAAAAATATTTAATTCAGCGCTGCACTTTAAAAGGCCAGCCTACTTTTGTCTAAAGCTTTGTCTAAACAATTACATTCAAAACAAGCAGATACATTTTCATGGTTAATGTGATGAAGGTTAATGTGTTAATAAGTTACAATTTGAAATGACCTCTCAGATCTGTGAATCTCTGCAAGTAGAGGAGAAATAGCCTCCAAAACAAAGAGAAATACAGCACCTCAGATGTTTCAGTTGGCATAAAGAGTGGATTGCTTTTTTTATTCATACATAATCATCTATAAAATGATTTTAACAGCACAGCAACAGTGAAATTGCAAGATCAATTGCGTCTTTTCCCTTCAATTCTAAGACATCTCTTCTAAGAACAGCCTATCTTGTGTGAGTCTGTGCCTTGTAAACATGATAAGATCAGATAATGTGAAAAGGGACCTTTGACGAAGCAAAGGGCAAATATTGATCTGGCATATTATGTTCTTTTTCTTAGAATAGAGAGTTTTACACAATAATGTTCTGTACAAAAAGATAGATAGGATACATGTGTCTGCCACGTCATATGGAAAGAGGTATAGAGGATCGAACTGAAGTTAAAAATAGGTTACGGCTGTAGGAAAATGATGGGGAGGGGACCTCAATTAGCGAGGAAACAGACTTAATTTTGTAATTTTTATTTGTACAGTGAAAACAAAATACCTATTTAAAAAATACTTATTTAGGAAAACAAAACCAAGTTAGTCTCACTTAAACTTACTAGTAAAAGCTGCTTAATCAAGAATATTTTTTAAACAAAAAAATGACATTAGTGTTACTTAAACTTAAACAACAATTTTGTTCAGTTAAAATAACTTACCACATTACAGTGTATAGTGTGAGATCTGGAAGGTTCCCACCAATGTCAAGGTGCTGAAGAATTGTCCCTTCCCAATATGTTACCAATCTCAAATGATCTTAACATTTTGACTCCACAGTGTTACCACTGTAGATCTATGCTGACCTGCCAGGTTTGTGTGTTTTTGAGCAAAGAGTGGGCTATTTGACGAAGAGTGAGAGAGCAAGATATGGAGTTACCTGACCTGATCTGGCAACCTGCTGTACTACCAAGGTTTCTGGTTTCAACAAAGACCATTATGAATGCAATTTATTTCACATCCATACTAACAAAAAAAGTATGAAAGATATGGAGGAAAATCAGTATTGCTTCCTGTTGTAGTTGATCAATATATTTTTTTCAAAAACACATTCAAAAGAGAGACTGAAAAATGCAACGTTATACAAGTAACCTTAACTTCGTTAATCCACTCAATTATCAAGACCTGTCAAAATCATATTTAGGCCTTAGGCTTAAAATTCTGATTATTGGATTTTTTTAAGACCCTGGGGGCACCCTGTTTTGTTGGCTAGCAGCAAATGGAGTCTGAATGGTGATGAATGAATGGTGGTTTGAAGCACTTAGTATTAGTATTAGAAGGCTATCCCTCCCCCTCCCCTTTATGAGTGTATCAGGAGTTGAGATATCATTGTATAAGCCATTATTTTATGGAGATATTGTACTGTAGTATTAGACACAGCTTGTCTAACTAATGAGTTTCTTTGTGAACGTCAAGCATGACTTAATCAGTAGAGTCCTGTCAGCAGAAGCCTGAGACACACAGACCGGTGAGCTCTGATGTCACAGTGAATGTCTGTAAGTTCATGAGCTGATTATAAATTAAATAAAGTTTGAATATAAATTTAATTTTGAGGATTTTAGACTTGGGGAATCAGTAACTATCTTCTTTAAACTAACCTCTCATAACCTCTTGTTTGAGGTTTTATTAAAGTTTGCCATTTTATTTTCCCACTTCCAACATGTTTCATATGTTATATTTCTCCAACGCTGTGTGACAAACAAAGGACATCACAGAGGGTTAAATGTAGGTTAAAATGTCACACCAGAGGGCTACACATACACAGTCACATTCATCTGTACAGAAGCTCCACTGGAAAGTTTTCTGGTTCACTGTACCTATCTGAACCAAAAGGTCCAACAGTCAGACGAGTCAGATCTGCAGATAAGATCTAGCAGACAGAGAAAGCACAAGAGACAGTGACAGTGTTACCTTGTACATGTCTTCATATTTCAAGAAGAGGACATTAGAGTCCATACGATGTTCCCAAAATTCCTGAACATGTTCAAACCAGGAACCATATCCCACTGTTAGAGAGAGAGAGAGAGAGAGATGCACTTGGATGAAAACAGTACAGTTCACTGACTTAAAACCAGATGGAAGCCAGTCCTCCAGTAACCTTCATACTTACGCTTGTCATTCATGAAGCGCCGGCAGAACTCCTGGAAGGTTCCCCGGTAGCTCATGGTCCTGAGTGAGCGATGGAACTGGTAGTAAGACACCACCAGGTCCTTAGGGTTACGAGCCATGTAGATCACCTAGAAGAGAACCACAGCAGTGCTCACTGCAGTCAGGTACATAACTGTGACTGTTTATTCCTCAAAGAGAAGCTTATTTTTTCAAGGTGACGGGTATTGGTTATTTTATTGAGCTACAGCTTAAAAGAAGGAACTTCCTTCTTCTTCCAGAACGTCAACATTTATTTTTTAGCTCTGTTCTTGTTAATGTAGATGTAGCATCTGAATCCTAGCACAATTAAGACAGGACCAGGTTTGATGTGGGTGTCAGAAAACGTTTAAAAATGTTCATCCACTATCTTTCTATCCTGGGAGAGAGAGAAAAGCTATGGAGAAGATTTGCCTCTGCTGTATTGCTTTTATCGCACTGAGGGGAGACATCTGGAAACATCTTGTTCAATTCAATTCAATTCAATTTTATTTGTATAGCGCCAATTCATAACAGAAGTTATCTCAGGACACTTTTCAAATAGAGCAGGTCTAGACCGAACTCTTTAACATTAATTACAGAGACCCAACAGTACCACCATGAGCAAGCACTTGAGCTTTGATTTTGAAGAGTGGAGTCTGTGGATGACACAAAACTGAATGAGACAATGCCTAGAGTTGATGGAGCACACATTAATCTCGTTAAGGCTTATGTCTCAGGTCGTTAATTTGTGGTTGAAGCACTACAGAATAACAATTTGGTTATTGGAGCTGATGTTTGACGTCATCTTTCAATGACCTTCTCTGGTCTTGACCCTTGACCTCTTGACCCTGCATTACCATCCCATAGTCCTTTGCCCCTCATTTTGTGAAATAAATCATTGGACTGCACCAATCCCCGCCTCTGTCGTCTGGATTTGGGTCCATCCTCCGTTTCCCACCGACTTCAATGTTCTGCCTGAACGAATGCTATGAATATTTTTGATCAAATTCCGGCCAAAATTTTGGCACAATAAGTCTTGGCTACTGTATGTATACTGTCTGATCTCAGTGGACTGACCTTGGCCTCTCCGTTGTGCATGGCTGTGGGGAGGAATCGATAGGGAAGATGGCTTTTGATCAGACGAGGGGACGTCAGCTCCTGTGGAGGAAGTCATTATTTTATATATTATTATTATTATTTCATGTATATGTCTTATACAATGCAATGTTCTAGCCATACTGTCAATGGTTCCAGCTCACAATTCCAGCAGTCTGAGCTGTTCTGTATATGGGGTTTGTATAATTATATAATTTGGCATTCAATTTATTTTCTCCAAAACAGGTTGTGTATTAAAGGTCCATTTGGTCTGCCAAGAATGGAAGCCACAACAATGTGTGAATACTGGTCATCATGGACATTCCTTTTTTGTTTCAACACGTTCAAGTTTCAGAGGTTGAATGCAGTTTCCTGAAGAGTACAAGCAATAAGTGCATTCCCACCCACCCTGAGTGGCTGACTTGGCCTCAGAAGACATTATACAACTGTTCTCAGAGTCCCCATTTTGAGTAATCTGACCTTTAAGTGTAGAAGCAGTGTTTATGGGATTAGTTTGGTGCTTTCAAAACATTACATCCTTACAGAGAGTTTACAGAAACGTGACCTGGGATAAAAGAACTGGAGGTTAACACTAGCTATTCCGAAAACAACAGACCTTTTCACATGCATTTTAAAATCATCCATTGCAAGTAAATAACACAATGCAATGTACCCAAAAAAGCTGACATGAGTCATACTTTTGCTGGGTTGCAATGCAACACTGTTCAGGAATTGGGTGGGTTAAGAGAGAGAGAATCATGAACTTTACAGACTTGCAGGTCTACGACTATTCATTTGAACATATCCAAAAACATAAATCCAGCAGTGGGACGTGATAAGCCTTTGAATCAAGCTTGCTGTTTAGTTCTCAAATGGACATACAGTCCTTGTGATAAACTTGTGATTGTGGTGGTGTAAAATTGCGATAGCTAACAACAACATCTCATGTTTCACATCTAAACAAGGTGTTGGTTTTGTCATAACGCTACTACAGCAAAAGGCATACCCACTACAATGCAGAGTCGTTATTTTGCCAGCTGGCAAAAATCTTAATCTAAAAGCCTCCACAGGCCCAGAACTCCTGCAGTCTCCAAATGAGTCAGTGAAGGTCAACCTGATTTCAGCTACATTACCTGTATGATGTCCAGGCCAGGTTGGGGGTACTCCAAGACAGGCAACTGTTCATCAATGTTCATAAGGCCGATCTCATCTGGGTCTGCTCCCTGACTCACGAGATACACAATTTCCTGAAGTAGACTGGTGCCTACAAGGATCGAAGAGAGATCCAAAGGACGGGAAATTTAGGACGGCAGAAAGAGAACAAGAAAAGCAGTTGTCGTGTGCACAGAGGTTGAAAAATTAGACAGAATACAACTGTTGCAATGTTAGCCGAAAGTGAGTGTGTCAGTAAACCCTTGCAAACCTTTAATATACACTATCTTAGTGTATATTAGATGGTCAGACAAGGACCGATCTCTAGGAGCCTTATATCCTCTTTTAGCTCCTGGTTTTTTGGTTTTCTGACCCACAAACTCTGGTATTATCAGCCTCATTTCTTAGAGCAGCAGCTTTTCTTTTTGCAGCAAAATGGCTCAGATAAACCCACTGTACACAAGCTGACCAGCACCACACAGCAGATAGAGAAAGTAAGCAACTGTAGGTGGTGAACATAGTGACCAAAAACAGAGCTAAGAGAGTATGAATATGTGACTTACATTCATCAGGTGTGTTACTACATTGGTCATTATAAGATGGTGATATGTCAGATGTGTTTTCAGCTTGTTCTATGATCTGCAAGTGGCCCAAAAAAATATGCTACTTTTAAATAGTACTCCTTTAACATTGTCAGACTCACAATAGACAGTTATAAAAATAGGTATCAAAATCAATACTGCACACTCACAGATACCATCTTGTTTATTCCACGCATTCTTCTTCTTTGTCAAAAGCTTGAGTCTACATAGCCCACAATGCATCTTGATTGCCAGCAGTTCAAGATTTAGTTGTGTTTGTAGTCGCAAATGTATCCTTGATCTACTAGCCTCCTGCACAGATGAGGAGCAGCTACAGAGGTCTGGTAGAGGTCCACATCCCCAGATTTTTATTCATTTAAAACATTTTAGTCTTCAGCAACTTTTTCTGTCAGCCTGGTGATTCAGCCTTGCTGTCTTTCAATCCTAAATCAACAGTCACTTATGAAGTAAAACTACCAGTCACTGCCCACATTAAAGCAGAATCTTTGTCATCATAATACCGTTTTATCTGTTGCCATGCCAAAGTTTCATGTGGCATCCATGTGACTCATTTTGGTCAGCAGGACATGCTCAATGTATAGTTTTTTTGGAAAAGCAGGAGTCTAATAACACAACAAAATGAAGGCTCGAGGCTGCTATCAGATAACGCGTTGTGAAACCTGAAGGAGATGCTTCATTAAGCAAAGAGAAAGGTAATGGCTTTTTGATCAGAGTACAATCAATAGCATTGCTGTTTTTTTAATAAGCTATGGAGCTTGCCAGCTTTCTGCAGAAAAGGGTGATGGGAAAAAGACTGAGTGTTCTTGCTTAGAGGAAGAAGATGTGCATTTGCGTGGCATCAGGCTGGTCACATGCTGGCTGTGACACCAAATAAATCATGCAATGAAGATTTTTGTGAGTTTCCTACGAAATCTGTCTCACTCTAAAAGAAAACTTTTATTTCTCATTGGTACCAGTTATGGTGTGTTTTGCATTCATGAAAGGGTTCAGTTGTGTTTGAAACATCAGCAATGACAAAATAGAAGCCATTTTACAGCCAAACATTGAAACCAGAGACTCAAAAAAATATTTTAGGACACTGAGTGCAGGGCATGTCCAAACCAAAACTGTCAACTCCCAAAGAGTTTCTAATCAAGATGGACCCCTTGTAGGTCTATGCTAAATGTATTTGTCATTTATAATTTGTCCCTATGAGTCGAGTAGATAATGTACAATTCCAGTATGTATTCTATAACTGCTACTGTCATGTAGTGATTTGCACGTTTTTGGCAGGGAAATCTTTGCTCTTTATAATATGTATACATTTAACCTTTTTATTGTTAAAAATATTGCAATATGGGTTTTTACTTTTACTTTTTTTTTATCCTGTTGAAAATGCAGTTTACAGCAGGTATAAAAGGTAATTTATCTGTAAATCCACCAATGTTCACTGTATTGCATTTCATGATGCAATATAATGACTATGATGTCACTGGACCGTAACGTATGATGCATATTTTATTGCTTATGCTTATTTAATAAAAAACGAACAAATTTGGTGTTGATGGCCATTTTTACAGTTGGAGAATGTAAGAATCAATGATCTCAAAATGCTCGATAATCTGATTAATCAGTCTATTACGAGTAAGAATTACTTTAGGCTTACAACAATCAATAATAATTGTTATTAATTTCTATATAATTTTTTGTCAAAGCCACAGGGAGCCACTGGAGAGGAGCCGTATGTGGCTCCAGAGCTGCAGGTTACCCTTGCCCTAAGCCTAACTATGGAAATAGGGAACATAGGACCCTGGAAACAAGTGCAATGACCCCAGCTGAAGAAATAATGCTAACTGTAAAGTTTGGTGGAGAAGAGCAATGGCCTGGGGCTGTCTTTAAGGCCAATGAAGGGCACTGCCATTTTAGACAGTAGTGTATTTTTAACAGTTTGGGAAGAGCTTTTCCTGTGCCCTCACAATGCCAGGTCCATAAAGAAAAGGTTTTCCCTATTTACTGTGGAAGAACTTGGCCTGCACAGAGTCCTGACTGCAAGTCCTTCCAACACCTTTGGGATGTACTGGAATGCAGAACTTCACCCAACATCTGTGTTGGAACTCACTAAAGCTCTTGTGTCTGAATGGGAGAAAATCCCTACAACCAGGTTCAACATCTGGCGGACAACCTGAAATCAGGAGAGTGATCACAAATAAAGAATGGTTAAAATTGATGCAGCACAGATTGAGATATTCTGACTTATGGTCTCTATGAGGGTCAAGCTCAAAAAACAATGGGTAATAGACTTTCCATAATGCAATTGGATTGCTTTCATTAGACCCTTGCTTCCTGGTAAACATCCATGTCTTTCAAACTCCATGCCCTGAGCAAGCTGTAGCCTCCGTGGCTGAAAGTAAAGAAAAATGGAAGTAAAAATGACACTTCCTCTAACGGCCACTTGAGGCTGGCTCCAAAATAAATCAGAAATCAGAAATAATCATGTTTACAGCCTGGTACAAGAAACGTTTTTGATCTTTATAGCTAATGTTAATTTTAATTCACCTATTTAAATTATATTAAGGCTTAAAGTTATGCATAATTAAGAGCATGGGCACTTTGAGTGTCAGGTGGGTGCAGTCACATGTGACCTGGCTTCATTCACCCTGTCTCAGATCCATCCACACTCCAAGTCTAAGCCTATTTCTGGCCAGAGACGACCACATGGCTCTTCAGAAACATGTGGGTGACGTAATGGAGACAACGTCCATTTTTAATTATAATGTAAAATGATATTGACATGTAAAGTAAAATTGGCACAGTGCCCCTTTAAATCGTAATTTTCATTTCACATCAATGCACGGCACGCAACCAGTGCTTCTGATTGTACTAGCCCTCTGTGTTTTATATGTGAGTGTGTGTGGGTGTGCAGTGCAGACGTGTACCGCCTGCAGGGAGACATGATTGAGCGTATGGCTGATGTCAAAACAGTCATAAATGCACCGGCATCACAAACTGTAGAGCTAGCCCACCCCCCCCAACGGTTTATGGAATCTTGCAAATCCCATTGACCAAGACTGCCACATGTGAGCCAATGGCATCACAGCTCTGCGGCATCCTAACCATGTGGCCTGCCATGTGCTTTCTTTCCCTCTGCACCAGAATAGACACACCAACACAGAGCAGAGTAAAGGAAACAGGAGCAAAAAAGCTTCAGGTTGCTTTTGCCTGCTTCTCTCATGTGCACAACAAACAACAAAATTCTGTGGCTATACATGAATTTATCATTGTTTTCAATCCACAATGTCATCCTGTTAAATGAAGACAAACTGCCTTGTTTACAGCTTGGTGATCTTGCAGTTCTTTCTGTATGTCTTTTGAGAGGTTTTCAGCACCAGACACATTTATCTCCATCCACAACAATCCTCTAAAACATGACGATCAGCAGGATTTATAACATCAATTGTGGTGTGAAAACTACAAAGAAACAGAGGAGAGGTCAGTTTCATCATGTTTTAAAAGCTGGAAAGGACATCAAGTTCCGATCAGACATTCATTGTTTTTGTCTAATGTGAGAGAACATTCCAGATCCAGCTGTGACAATCTTCAGTGTTCTTGGTGCCTGTGCCTTTTAGTCCTGGTGACCTTAACAGACAGTTACTGTATCTAAGCCTAAAAAGACAGCTTTGTTCCCTGGAAATGTCTATTTTTTATTAACATTAGTAACAATCTGGTTTTGATGCAGCACAACTGATCCTTTCTAAGTCCCGCCCCTTTTTGCTCTGTGCTCCAATCACAGTTGAGCAAGGTCAGAACCTGGGTCAACTTCCTTCTTTCCTGTACTTGAATATGCTATGTGTAGGCTCGTTCACATTTTTAAGGTGGGTAAAAGATAAAAGTGACATATAATCACATTTTAAGATAGCTAATGTTAGCAATACATATATACAGCACTGACATATTATTACCTAACTTCGTATAGCAAACACGTTAGTAACATACACCAACAGAAACATATTGAGCAGGCATGGAGTACATTAGCATTGTGAGTTGTTTTTCTGGCAACCCCAATATTCATTCTCTTTAAGCTCTGTTTTTGGTCTCCACCAACTCCTGATGGAACCATCTGGTACTTTAACTCCTAAACACTCCATTACGTTGACCAGCTAGTTACAAAGTTTGTCTGTCTGTTATTTGGTGCTGGTTTTTAACCCTAACCCTTTTTCTTTGAAAACAGCTGACTGAACCAAAAATGAATAAAGAAGGCTATAAAACCAAAACAGGGAGCTGAAGAAGCTAAAACACAGAGCTGAGGTGGTGATATTTGTATTACAGATACTTACGTGATCCATTATTTAAAAGTGCAACTTTAACAAAGTGTTTTATTCGCCTAACTCTATACCTTAACCAACGTTTACATGCCATATCCACCATCTTTTCCTACCAGTACTTTCAGAATTATCTGATATCAAGATTCTTTCTGGCAATTGAAAGGTCAGACCTCCTGATTGTATCAAATCACAATGAGGATATGTTGCACTAATTTGGCAAAACATCCATGGATGATGTAAATTATGATTGACTGGCGTAAGAATCACCTAGCAGCTTCATCAAACGGATGTGTGATATCTAAAATATGAGAATTAGCAGTTGTCTTGCCACAGTCAGCCTGAAAGGGACAGAGTTCCAGGAGAGTCATGACCATGTACAGTTAGCACAAGCCCTCCCTGGTTGGAAAGGGAGGATGCAGCACAAATCTATGCTTGCAGGGCAAAACCTATATAGGAAGCAGCATGGTCTGTTACATACAGGAGAGTCTGGCTCTACTGCTTTCTCTCACAGTATCATGTAACAGCATGTGTACTGCAGGATGATGAGAACGCTCGCCATCCACTCAGTAACATTTGCATACAAACATACAATGCATTCATGCATCTGAACCCATCAAGTATTATTCAATGTTCTGATAAACTCCTACACTGTGTGCTTTCACTCAGATGCTTTCACTTTTTAAACTCTTTGACCCCCCTCTACTATTTATGGCCTGGTTTTCCCACCCCTTTTTTTTTAGGGTTCTGGCATTGTCACACACAACTTTAAGTATGCTTATACTAAAGGCTTGGTCACACAAACTGCAAATTCCATTAATTCCAGTAAAATCACTGTGATAAGTGGATTAGCTCACAGGAGCAGAGACTACTAAATGTTTCACGTCAAGTTCAACTTTGTTAAACTTTGACCTGCAAATTTGCCTCATTGACCTTGACAGTGCTGGCTTTGCGAGGACAGAGCTGGATATCATAAAGTGGCGTTGCTATCGTAGCTTATTAGCTTATTTATAGTGCTGTCAGTTTAATGCGTTATTAACAGCGTTAACGCGAACCCATTTTAACGGCGTCAATAGTTTTATCGCGAGATTAACGTCTAGCACACTTGGTAGTTTTTTTTTACATGCTGTTGCAACAACTAGTAACGTTAGAAAAACTACAACACCACACCGGATCTAACTAGACCGGAAACAAAACAACAGGCACGCCGCACACACTTGTTTAAGAGTAGTAGACGTTACGTTTTGAGTGGATGGCGAGCGCGAGATGCTGAAATGGATGGATTCCTTGTTGTCTGAAAATGTCAACAGGCTTGTCTGTTTCAGTAACTGGCTCAAAGCAAAGAAGTAGTAGGCTTACCTTTCATTGGTAACAGTTACTGTTCATTCTTTCTGAAATAAGAGGCTGGGTTGAGCCTCTGGTGAATAAAGAGCAGTAGTCTGACTGCTATGTTCAAAGCAAACTTGAAAAAGTATTAAGCCATGGTTTAACTGCACTATAGGCTGAGTCCTAGTTTACCTTACATGTGCACTTTGTAATTTTATTTTGTATCGCCCTGTTTTGATCCTTTAGAAAGGGCTGTTGAAGGGGCTGTTTGTGTGACAAAGTATTTTTTTCACCCTTTTATTGATGGACAGTGTTACATTGTGTGAGAGATTATTTGCTCCAAGTGAGAATGTTAGTGTGAAATTGAACACTACAGTATACGCCAATGTTGTTTTCAATAGTAAACAACATTTGCACAAAGCAAGCCGATCCACTTTTCCATGTTGATAAGAGCATTAAAATGAGAAAAAATAATGGGACAAAAAGAAACCAAGGGACATTTAGAATAGATAAAAATGTGCGATTAATTGCGAGTTAACTATGACATTAATGCGATTAATCGCGATTAAATATTTTAATCGTTTGACAGCACTACTTATTTATTTAACCCTAACTGTTCCACAGATGAGCAGGGCTTTGCATCAGTTATGAGACAGGAATGGTACAAATTAGAATAAGCCTCGCTGACTTATTGTCTCATTAATAACTGCGCTAAGCTAATGAGCTAACGAGTTTGCCAGCTGACCGTAACCAAGTGCTTGTGTTTTTGTTACCTTAGAGTGAGCTTCTACAGACGCCACGGGTTGCCTTCTGTGGAGGCCGCCAAGTTGAACCGCCATGTTTCTACAGTAGCCCACAACGGACAATCCAAACACTGACACTAGGCTGCTGTTTCACTGCCACGGTTTCTCCCTAGCAGTTGGCTAGAGGCCACTAAATCCTGGACCTTTAAATCATTTCTTTATTAAATGAAAGGATGTACAATGGTGAACAAACTACGCGGAACAGTAGAACAGTAGAACAGTAGAACAGTAGAGATAAAATAGGGAGAATGTCTGGGAGTTGTTGTTAGCTACTGACCAGCACTAGCCCAGCCAGCAAGTTAGTGGTCGGCCCACCAGCGACAGCAGTGCCCCAACCAGCCCTGCCAGTATCGTCCTTACAACACTGAGCTTCTGATATTCTGCAAAGGTGCCCAGATGAATATTGCTGTACCACCTCGTGATCAGGCCTTTATAGGTTTACTGTTTTTTTCTTTTAATGAAAGATTAGTTACTCAGAAATGTCATCTATCAGTGTGTGACATTCCATGAATGAACAAAAGTGCCAGAGACATAAGAACCAGGGCCGGAGCCCCCACCCCCCCGCAGAAGGCTTCTACTGGCCACAAAAAATAATACTAATATTACTTATTTCATCTCCTAAATATTTATTATTTGAATCATGTGTCAATACTAAACACCTTTATGGTATTATCATGTAATATATAATATTTCTATATTATAAAATACAATATTATTGCTTGAAAACTATCTTAAAACAACCTGAAAACTATAAGATTCATCCTTGTGTGTAATTCTGTTGGAGTGGAATGTGAACTCCAACACAACAGTTATGACCTCTATGTACTGCTGGTATAGCAGCATCAATTCCCATGAGTACCAAAATGATGCATTTACTGTCTTAATGAATTTACAGTACAGTTATTGTTAAGCTGTGTGTTTTGGCATTGTATATTATCATATATTTAGATGATTCAAAATGAGTTAATTGATTAATTCAATTCAATGATGGGAAAACGCCATCAATTTAGGCTTCCTCTAAATTAATTTCCTGCAGATGATCACTAACTGCGTGCAGCTCACTTTCTTCCATTATATACTGTATGTGATGCTGCTGAGACGCTGAACCAGAACAATAATTCCTACGACAATGATCGAACTCTCTCTGCCCTTCTGCGTGCAGTGACAGCGAGCTCCAGCTGCCCAGTAGCCGTCACATGACCGGACCCACCCAACGCACAGCAGGGCACCGTGCACGGCGGCCACCCGCCTGCAGCACCGCTGCGCAACGACTCTGCTGGATGTAAACACCAACTTCCATACGTGTGTGATAACGCGTGTGATTACGGTGGATGATGAAGGCCAGCTTATGTACAGGCCAGCTGATGCACTTTGCAGCCAGGCATGATCGATTTACTCTGACTCATCTGATTATGAAATATGCTGGATACTGATTGTAAAAGCTTGATAGAGGCCTATAAAATGTAGTTCTGCTGCACAATCGCAATATAAACAGAGATATGTCACCCACCCAGCGCTGTTGCATGTGAAACCCGGCCTGATATGCAACTTTAATGGTGACTGTGACCAAGTGTCATGCAAAATAAACCCTATGACCGATAGAGGATGTACACTCGCTCGCCCTGTGCATTATTTATCTGATCAAACTTTAATAATCACAAGAGGAGCCTGCAGTCACCGCTGCAGCACAGAGCAGCACACAGCCAAGAAATCTGGAGACACGGCGAGCAGTGCACAGAGGGTGACGCAGAGGCTTGTTTACCTGACTTCGGGTAGGTGACAATCCATATGTCGCTACTTCTGAGGGAGAAGTTAGCGATCTCCTCCATCTTCCCTCTGCAGAAGGGCGGCAGCCGCACTCCATCAAACTCGAAGTATTTGCTCTCAAACTCAATCGGCGTGCTCGGCGTGTCTGCCTCGCTCTCGGCCATCCTCGAAACGAGCCGCCAGTGCAAGAGAAGGAAAACGCACACACCCACGCGAACAGTTTCTTTAATTTTTGTGATGGAGTCAGAGATGAGGATGATGGTTGATGAGGCTGGTGTCAAACGCGGCTGCCGCTCGCGTCGGGATGCTGGAGCTGGCGCGGTGGATGCTGCACGGCAGAGCTGACCCGCAGCCAATCACGCAGGAGAGAAGTGATGTAATGCGCGCGCACGAGGCCCAGCATCAGGACCACTCTCGGCGGGCCCGAGGATGCGCGCGCCCGCAGGGGAAGGATACTTCCCAGCACATTATACAGACCCACATGCTCCAGTAGGCTGCTGGAATAATCCCATAATCCTCTGCTCTTATCATAAACCTACTCAATCACCGTGTTCCTACATAAACCACAGGCCTATCATATAGCATTTATTATTGGGTAGTAAATCTGATATATGTGAGTCTGTAAACGTGGCTAGGGTTAATATTTTATAGTGTAGTCTTATAGGCTTTTATAGTGTTTGTGAGTGCTTTTAAGTTTGACTGATATATTGTGTGAATTGTGTGCATTTGTATAAATCTAAAATGAATAATACATACATATAATACTAATACTATAACTGCAGGAAGTTTATGTATATTCTTTAAGTCAGGGACCTCAAACTGCTGGCCCAGGGGCCTACAAGATTATTCTTTTTTAATTAATATTTCTAAAAATGTAGTTGCATTGCAAAATAGAAGAGAGCAGGTTTCAGGTCTTCATTTGTTGTTTGGCTATAAAAGTGATATAAAAATGTAACTTGAAAATTGAAATTGCCGGCAGTGGCCCCAAGCCAATATGAGTTTGAGACCCCTGGTTTAAGTTTTCTTACACCCCTTAAAATCAAGAAGGCCTCACGACCCCCTGTGATGTTTTGGCGACCCCTTGTGGCTGTACTGTATGGTCCATAGACTATTGATTTGTGCTGAATTATTCACATTTTCCTTCATTTGCATAATACTTATATGTGAAATATCCCAGAAAAAAATAATTTATCTAAAGACACTGTTGATTTACATCTTACCTGTCCGTTTTAATATGAACATTAATGAACTTGTGTCTATTGTGTGGCTGGGGGCTATGACTTTTCTATTCACTACTGTGTGGATACAGTGCAAACTCTTTCCTTGTTTCAGAATGCTCAACAATGCCTGTGACCAATTGTACATATGCTTCTTATATGGCATGTACAGTGTATGTGGTATTATGAAGTATACTATAATGCATCAAAATCTATGGAGGCCCATTTAGTCCCATGGTATTTAACACTGCACGTGCATACAACACAAACTCTATGCAGTTACATTTCAAAATGGCCACTATTGTATAATGCACGACTCTGAATAAGTTTGCGATGATGAAATGTACAATTATAATTACATACCACAATGTATTAAATTCTTAAGTGTATTGGAGCCAACATTCACCCTCCTAACTCCACCAATACAATAAGGTTAGTCTGCATCAGTGTGCACAGCAATCAAACTTATTCTCAGCAAGCGCTTCTTTAGTTACTATAATATCACTACATTACAAACAAGTAGTATTTTTATAGTACCATTGATTGATTGATTTTATTTATGAATTATCAGACAGGAAAAAAGAACATATCCACATGCTGAAGTGAAAACACTAATTTCCAACATGGTCTCAAGTTGTTAGGAGACAATAGAAGAAGTATAAGACATTCACCATAAAAACTAAAAAACACAGTCCTGAAGTCCGTAAGCATATCTCCCAACTCCCACATGAGAAAACAATGTTAACAGCTAAAGTAACAATGTTTTTGCAAATGTCATTATAAATGTCTTACCCTGTGTACTCCTCAACCTGTTCTAACACAAGATGTTCCAGAACCTTAGACAGGGTTGTTCAAACGGATACAGGCCTATAATTCCCAACATGTGGCCTGCTATTCCTCTTAAAAAGGGGACCGACCAACCGTCTGCTACTCAACACTTTAATGCACAATCCTATCATTTTTCTGTAATATTCTTATAATGGTGGTTGTTAGTTGTGATATTATATTATATTATATGTCTTATACAATATGTTGCAGTGTATAGCAATCCTTTTCATATAGGCTACTGTTTTGGCTTAGCTGGTTCTGACTTCCAGATAAAAGTAAAGTCCTCTAAATCATTAACAAGTAGTTAAATAACTTTACCTTGTTGAGAACCCCCCGGTCTATGGTCACCAATAAAATATGAAAGTGTGTGAGGATGGGCAAAGAAAACAGAAGTAAAGCAGGAGGGGGAGGAGCTTGTGTGTTTTTATCTTTCATTTCTTTTTTAAATGGGTCGTGACGTCATTGCTTGTTGTCTATCCCGCTTGTTGTTGATTGGCTCTAGTGTAGAAAGGCGAATTGACAGACGTGCATTACTCCAATCATACTTTCAGTAACATGCTTTGCATTCACTGTTCCTCGTAAATCTCATGGTTTGTAAACAAGCTGCGACACTACCGGCACACAGCAACGGCAACTTCATATCCTGATTTACGTGGAAAAAAGTGCAGATTAATGTTATATAGTCTCCGAATACAGTGAACACGCCCATGAAACTTTGTTAAACCAAACCAATGTCACCTAATAGTATCAACACTGGACAATAAAACAATAGCCTATTTTTACAATACCATTTCCTCAGCCACACAGCAGTGCATGCGTGTAATATAACAGCAAACAGCAGTGAAACCTTTTCCTTTAGTTTCTTATACAATATGTTCACATTAATGAATACATTCTTTCGTATAAATAAGTGTAAATGTACCAGTACACGCACTATTGGAGCGGTCATGTGGGCGTTACGACAATTCCGATAGCACCTGAAGGCATCATACTTCCCTCTTTATAGAGCCAGTTGTTGAGCGGAGGTTTCAGTCTGCTACTCCCAGCTGAGCGGTTCGTCACCGGGCCGCCTCTATCAGCCGCTGCCGCTACGCATACAGTGTACTGTGCGGTCTCAGGGCTCCCCAGCCGGGGCATGCCCCGCCATGTTCGACCTAAACGGAGGCTGGAACCTGTCTTTTGCCGGTTGCGGGTTCTTGGGGATTTACCACATCGGAGTTGCCAGCTGCCTGCTGGAGAAAGCGCCCTACCTCGTCAAGGGGGCCACCAAGCTGTACGGGGCCTCCGCCGGCGCTCTGACCGCCTCGGTGCTCGCCAGCCAGGCATCCATAAGTAAGACACACCGCTATGGGCCACACAGCCTGGAGCTCTGTACTTGAGGCAGGACACCGGACGTCCTGTATTATTATTATTATTATTATTATTATTATTATTATTATTATTATTATTATTATTATTATTGTTGTTATTATTATTATTATTATTATAGTTATAATAACTGCTGCAGAAATTAAAATTATATTTTAAATGTTGTAATTTTTTTATATGTTGAACTTCACTGATTTAAATGTGAAATATTTGAAGTATATATTGATTGTTCTTGACAAAACTGACCCAAAAGTGTATTATTTGACAGTAAAAATACCAAGATACATCATTAATGTACTTAATATATAATAAATAAATAAATAAATAAATATTTTTATATGACACATAGTGAGACTCAGTTCCCAGTGCCCTAAACATATATATGAACTTCTTGCAATATAAATTGAACTATCAATTATGAGCCCAGTTATAAGGTTTTAATTATACTTTCAGAGTTCATGTGTCAGTAAACACACTGAAGATTATTTTAACATCAGTAGCAGATTAGATGTAACATGCAGTCAGTCACCATCGGGTTTCAAGTACAAAGCTGAGAGAAATAGACAGTGTGTGCTGTATGCTTATAATAGCTTTCATTGATATATGTTCAGCAAGTGTTTAAATGTCAAACAGTAGTGTGGAACCATTGGATTATAAGAGAACAGGACTTATCTTGCTGTTGACAGTGCGAGTCAGAGACGCCACTTTCTTTCCCACTTTCTTTCCCAGGAATAAGCTATCGTAATGGCTGCCATCAGTAAACACATAGGGTACATATTGTTCTATGTGTATCTGCAGTGAAGTCAGCATGGGCCCAGTACTCGGGAGAGGCCTTGTGTAGGTCACTGCCGATCAATGACCACTGGTAGCTTTAGTGAATATTGATCCAGTCTCAGGTAGTCCGTTTTTTGTTTGCAGTTGATTGAGTCCCATCTCCTGATCCTTGTGCTTTATCACTTTTAGCTAAATGCTGCGAAGATGTGATCGAGGTGGCGAAAGAGGCCAGGAAGAGGAACCTGGGCCCCCTTCACCCCTCCTTCAACCTGGTCAAGGTGATCAAATCTGGCCTGAATCGGGACCTGCCCTCTGATGCACACGTCCTGGCCTCGGGCCGGCTGTGCGTTTCGCTGACCAGAGTGTCCGATGGGGAGAACGTGCTGGTGTCAGAGTTTGGCTCCAAAGAGGAACTCATTCAGGTGCGGGGATATCTTTTAAACCTGGAGAAGCCTCCAGAAGACACAGGAAATGAATTTCCTCTCTGGTTTAACCCTGCTCTCTGCCCACAGGCGCTGATCTGTAGCTGTTTCATTCCCATCTACTGCGGGCTGATTCCTCCATCCTTCAGAGGAGTGGTACGTGTTTGCTACTCATCAAGGTTTAGCTTTGCTTTGCACAATTATTTGTAGAAAATACTAATACTAATACTAGTATTCATCATACTTATTATGACGTCTTTTTCTGGAGCGGTCACAGTGTTTGCTTCATTACATGTGATCAAAAGCATTCAGTGGGAAGCATTTTACTAAAAATAAGTGTAAAAAGAAGAAGGAGGTTTCAGTTGAACAGGAAATCCTCGTGAGTCTGAATGTGGAAGTGATCACGGTCTGTAATCTAAAGGCCATTTGGATTTGCTTTGGGTGCAGCTGTGATCCAAAAACATATCTATTATATACCAGTATTCCAGTAACACCTGAAAATAGGACTGGGAAAGTACTGTAGTAAAATAATGCATCAGGGAAAATGCAGGTCAAGGTGCAAGAGTGCTATGAGATCATTTGATTTTCTGTCAGAAATAATCATGATTAGTCATCTGCTTTCTTATAAAATGAACTGTAGTAATCATTTTACCTGCGAGTCTTAGTTTCTGATAGCAGTGTTGCCCTCACTTTGACTTATCAGCTGATATTGGACTTTGACAATGATCTAATTCAGACTGACAGAGCATTTTGGTATATGTG